TACTCTGCCCTTTCGGAATCCAGCTTGTACTTCTGGGTGTTCTCAATACACATACTGCTGAAGCCTGCCTTGGAGGATTTTGAGCATAACCTTGCTAGCGTGTGAAATGAGTGCAATTGTATGCTAGTTGGAGCATTCTTTGGCACTGCCCTTCTTTGGGATTGGGATGTAGACTGATCTTTTCCAGTCCTCTGGCCACTGTTCAGTTTTCAAAACTTCCTGGCATATTGAATGTAGCACCTTTACAACATCATGTTTTAAGATTTTAAATAGTTCAACTGAAATGCTATCACCTCCACTGGCCTTGTTGTTAGCCAGGCTTTCTAAGGCCCACTTGACTTCACTCTCCAGGATGTCTGGCTCAAGGTCAGCAACCACATTACCTGGGTTGCCCAGGATATCCAAATCTTTCTGATATAATTCCTCTGTGTATTCTTGCCACCTCTTCTTGATGTCTTCTGCTTCTGTGAAGACCCTCCAATTTTTGTCCTTTATCATGTCCATCTTTGCAAAAGAATTTCCTCTAATATCTCCAATTTTCCTGAATAGATCTCTGGTTTTTCCTTTTCTATTATTTTCCTCTATTTCTTTGCATTTTTCATGTAAGAAGGCCCTCTTGTCTCTCCTTGCTATTCTTTGGAAGTCAGCATTCAATTTTCTGTAACTTCCGCTATCTCCCTTGCGTTTTGTTTCCCTTCTCTTCTCTGCTATTTGTAAGGCCTTGTTGGACAGCCATTTTGCTTTCTTGCATTTCCTTTTCTTTGGGATGGTTTTTGTTGCTGCCTCCTGTACAATGTTAAGAGCCTCTATCCATAGTTCTTCAGGCACTCTGTCCACCAAATCGAGTTCCTTAAATCCTTCACTTCCACTGTGTCTTCATAAGGGATTTGGTTTAGATTGTACCTGAGTAGCCCAGTGGTTTTTCCTACTGTCTTCCGTTTAAGCTTGAATTTTGCTATGAGAAGCTGATGATCAGAGCCAGAATCAGCTCCACGTCTTGTTTTTGCTGACTGTATAGAGCTTCTCCATCTTTGGCTGCAGAGAATATAATCAATCTGATTATGGTATTTCCCATCTGGTGATTTCCACGTGTAGAGTCGCCTCTTGTGTTGTTGGAAAAGAGTGTTTGTGATGTCCAGCTTGTTCTCTTGACAAACCTCTATTAGCCTTTGCCCTGCTTCATTTTGAACTCCAAGGCCAAACTTACCTGTTGTTCGTTTTATCTCTTGACTCCCTACTTTAGCATTCAAGTCCCCTACAATGAGAAGAACATTTTTCTTCGGTGTCAGTTCCAAAAGGTGTTGTAAGTCTTCATAGAATTGATCAATTTCAGCCTCTTCAGCATCGGTGGTTGGTGCATCAACTTGGATTACTGTGCTGTTGAAAGGTCTGCCTTGGATTCGTATTGACATCATTCTATCATTTTTGAGATTATATCCCCTTATAGCTTTTCCCACTCTTTTGTTGACTATGAGGGCTACTCCATTCCTTCTTCAGGATGATTGGCCACAATAGTAGATATGATAACCATCTGAGTTGAATTCACCCATTCCTGTCCATTTTAGTTCACTGACGCCCAGGATGTCGATGTTTATTCTTGCCATCTCCTGTTGACCACCTCCAGCTTCCCAAGGTTCATAGATCTTACATTCCAGGTTCCTATGCAGTATTTTTCTTTGCAGCGTCGGACTTTCCTTTCACTTCCAGGCACGTCCACAGCTGAGCGCCCTTTCGGCTTTGGCCCAACCACTTCATTAGCTCTGCAGCTACTTGGGTCACCTCTTGGGTCATTACAATTCTATGATTTTATTTATGGAATATTCTTCATGTACAACATGACTTGGGTGGTTTTCCATTCTCTGCATCTTGACTTAGATCAAATTAGAAGAGAAGAAGTAATCATTTGATGCTCTGCCTCAGCCAGCAAAATATTCCAGGCTGGGTCTGGTCTTTCAGCTGAACCAGATATCTGTCTTTCCTATACTGCAGCCAGACAAAATTCATGCTTGGTAAAGGTCTGAGAGAGGGGGATCCTGATGATGTAGCTGGTGATGACCCTTTCCTTCTTCTCTTCTGGTGTAGTCTGATGGAACCAGGATACAAATTCATGTTAGTACATTGCCCTTAGATGTGCTGGAAGCTGTGGCATTCTCTCTTTGGGGTTGCAAATTCTTTCCCCTTCTTTTCATTGCACAGGAAAGAGAAATTATGAGATGGTGAGATGTTTTCTGCTGGAATTAATATCCATTTTTGTATTTGTAAAAACAAATTTTGCATGGATAACAAAATAGCATAGAAGTGTGGAAACTTCTATTGATTGCTTACATGATTTTGGTCAATCAGTCAGTATTTCTGTGCTTCATGGGTGTGCTTTGCCTTTCAAAGGGAAAGACACTAGTTTTGTACAGAGACATTTCCCGCAAATTGCAGACAGCTTGAAGAAGAAGAAAAAAGTTTTTAGTCTTGCTGTCACATTGGAGGTGAAAATTCCTGTGGGGACAAAAATCTTATCATGAAGGAATATCTCTTGCCCATTCGAAACAGTTTCTGCCCAGTTAGCTCCACCTCTAATACTTAAAGGAAAAGCATTTCCTTCCATAGTAGGTAGGTAAAGGTAAAGGTTCCCCTTGACATTTAGTCCAGTTGTGTCCAACTCTAGGGCACGGTGCTCATCCCCATTTCCAAGCCACAGAGCCAGCGTTTGTCCGAAGACAGTTTCCGACTAGACACGGAATGCCATTATCTTCCCACCAAGGTGGGAATTTATCTACTCACATTTTTACATGCTTTCGAACTGCTAGGTTGGCAGGAGCTGGGACAAGTGACGGGAGCTCACTCTGTTGCGTGGATTCAATCTGAGGACTGTTGGTCTTCTGACCTTACAGCACAGAGGCTTCTGCAGTTTAACCCACGGTGCCACCACGTCCCTTATATAGGCAAAAGTATTGGTGAGAGAAGGAGAAAGAGAGACATAGGAAGAGGTGAATGAGAGAGAGAGAGTAGTGTCAAAAATAGAAAAGAAAAAAAGGGGGCTGCAGAGAGCAAAGGGAACGGGGATGAATGGGAAAAGGGGCAGCAGCAGTGAGTCAATGAGTAAGACAGAAGGCATGGCAGAATCAGAAAAGGTAATTGGAAGAGAGAGAGGGGATGTCAGGGAGAGAAAAGGATGAAAGCAAATGAGTATGCAAGGTATGGAGAAAGAGAAATGGAGGTGACAGCAAGAGGGGATAGTAGAAACTGAAAACCAGGAAACAGAGAGAGGGGGGGGGCTGGCAGTGAACAAATGAGTGAGCAAGCAAGGTGTGGTGGAAAGAGAAAAGGTGACAGCAAGACAGTGAGAAGGGGATGAGTGGGAGTGAAAGAAGAGGATAGCATCAAGTCAGTGAAAGAAAAGGGCTGGCAGAAAGAGAAAAAAGGGATGACAGCAACTGAAAAGAAGACAAATGAGGGTGGGAGAGGGAGGGTGGCAGCAAAAGAGAAAGAGGGACACTTATCTCTGTCACTTGCCCCAGCCAGCTCTTCTTTCACCCCCACCTCCTACCAGCATGCAACCATGGGTGGATTTTTTAACCCTTTGAATGATAGGTAAAGAAATGTTCCCTGTCCTGCATTACATGAATAGGCTGTTTTTGAAACCCAAATGATGTCCTCTGTGTTTTGTATGTCTACTATAAAGTAGTTGCATTATTCCTAATGAAAGTTATAATTTAACTTTAAATGCCCATTAAACATTTTCAAAAGTTTCCCCCCTTACAGCAACAGATTATGTTATATAACAATCTTGATTGAGAAAAGGTGGTTAGCTTCATGCCTGACTCTTGTCATATGTCTGCAGACCCATTTTGGATTTAAAGTCATTCTCTCTTCAAAGCCTCTTTTACAGAACGAAGCCCTGTGGCTTTGGTCTATGGATGGGATAAACAGAGATATCAGGATGGCCAGAAAACATAGGGAACATCAAGGAGTCCCCCACTGCAAGGGGTTACATATGGAAGACATGCTGTGCATTCAAAACAAAGCGTGTGGACTCACACAGTGATGCCTCCAGCTTTCAGTTAAAACTAATTTTAGCCATCGAGCACCTGCCAAATTGATTTTATGGGCTTGACACCAGTTAATCACTTTACATTTCAAGCTTCAGCAACATTAGCATTCTGCTAAACCTGAGGCCTAGTCTGATGCATACATGTGGCCAAACACAGCAGGAATGAGGTTGCAGCATTTGGAGCTGTCTGGGCTTCAAGGTCTTTTAAAAAGAAAGCTCCTGTACATAGAAAGCTCTGCAATAGCAAAAGTATGTAAACCACATACACAAAATCTTAAAAGAGCAAACAGGACTAGAGCTTTTCTGGACTAGAACACCTCTGTGAAGGTTTTCACTTTTGACAGACAGAAGCTTTAAAAAGGTCACTTCTCACTTGTAGTTTGAAGTGGTATGGTCCATTAAAGAATCTAGTCTTCATTTTATGTCACATGCAGATTATACTCAAGTAGTGATGAGACAATGAGAAAATATTACATCTGATTGCACCTGAAAGGGTTATTTTGCTAAAAGTTATCTCCCTCAAAGTTATTCTTTTGTCCATGGAGAAATTGCACCAGCCCAACCCCCTCCCCCAATATAGCATACAGATTAGAGTTGGGCAGGATAGTGGTGTGATGGACACTGTGTGATTGTCAGGAAATAGTTTGCCCTGCCACAAGTGATCTAAAATGCAAGCTGTTTTTCCATCTGACTACACCCTCAGATATTTTCCATGTGAAATTAGAAATATATAGAGCCCCATAACACAGTGGTTAAACTGTAACCAAGCCTCTGCTCATAACCTGAATTGGATTCCAACCGATTTAGGTAGCTGGCTTGAGCCTGACTAATTCTTCCATCTTTAAGATTCGTAAAATGGTACCCAGCTTGTGTGTGTGTGGGGGGGGAGTGTTGTTTGCGTAATTATGTTGTAAACCACTCAGAGAGTGCTTTAGTAACATGGAGTAGTGTATAAGTAAAACAACAACTGAATAGAAATATTTAAATAAATTTCTACATTTCTAATTTCACAAAACATGGATATGAAATTACTTGCAAAATTTTCTTGAAGATTTTTTTTGAGGGTGGCAAAGATCAGCATTATCAGCTCAATGCTCACATCCTACAGTAAACATAGTGTTGAAGTATTGTGAAAGCTTGGCAAAATGGTGGCCAGGCTTTACCAGCTAAAAACAGAAATAGGCCTTTTTGAGCTATATACTGTATGTGTGTGTATCTAAAGAGAATTATTATAATGTCTGAGGCAAAGAAGGAAAAAAGGGAACAAAAATTAGGAAAAACAAGAGATCTTTTGCAAAAGATCCAGAAATCAAAGGGAAATTAAAGCCTAGATTAAGAATACTGAAAGACCAACAGGGTAGCAAACTATCTGACCTGGAGAAAATAAAGAGAACGTTGAAACAGTAAATTGAAGATATAAAGATACAGAAGAGATAAAAGGATAGCAGACTCCTTTGAAAGGAATCTATGATGATGACTTGCAATTCTAGAAAGTGAAAGTTGCTCACATAATTTCAGAAGATCAACGTATGCTTTATAAACAAAGCCTTTGACAGTGTGGATCATGAGAAGCTTGATCTCTAACAACTACAGTGGTGCCTCGACTTATTAACATCCCCACTTATGACCATTTCGTGTTACGACCAGCTCCGGCCGCAAAATGTTGCTTCTACTTGCGACCGGAGCTTCCACTTATGAACAGAAAAAGGCAGGGAGAAAAGGTGGGAAATTGAAATTGCTAACTGTAGGTGGTGGCGAGGGTGCTTCTTTGTAGCTCTTTCCCCCCGGCAGTTAGAGTGCATCAGAGGAGGCTTGGGACTGCCTCGCTTCTGCTTCTGAGTGAGCGTGTGTTTGTGTTTGCAGGGAAGCTTCGGGCTGCCTGGTAAGGTAAGGTGCTGTTTTCTGCTTTTTAAAAACTGTTCTGGGTTTTTTGCAGCATGATTTTGGGCTGGGGGGGGGGTTTATGTTTCTGTGCTGTGATGAGTCTTCAGGGGTTTGTATGTTTTTTGGGTTTTTTCCCCATTTCCGATGGGTCTTGGGGGTTTGTTTGTTTTTTGGCTTTCCCCCCATTTCTGATGGGTCTTGGGGGTTTGGTTGCTTTTTGGGTTTTTTCCCCCATTTCCAATGGGCCCTGCATACTTCCCTTGCAGAAATTAGAAGAAGACTTAGAAGGGAGCAGTTAGGCCAGGAAAGAGAAAGGATTAACAATGTATCATTGAAGAGCAAAGCCAAAATAATCCAGGCTATTGTATTCCCAATTACTGTGCACAGGTGCGATAGGTGGAAAACAAAGAAGGCTGACAGGGGGGAAATGATTTGTTTGAAAATGAGTGTGGAAAAGAGCTTTGTGGATGCCCCAGGATACTGGAAAGATGAACAAGTAGGTCCTAGAGCAAATCAAGCTTGAACTATATCTGCAGGCAATCATGTTGAAACTAAAACTGTTGTACTTTGGGCACATCATAAGAAGGCAAGATTCTCTGGAAAATTCTGTTATGCTGGAAGAGTTGAAGGCAGCAGGAAGACAGGAAGACCAAATAAGAGATTGATTCCTTAAAGGAAGCCACAGGCTTAAATTTTCAAGAGCTGAACAGGGCTGTTGAAGACAGGACACTTTGGAGATCACTTATTCATATGGTTACCATAACTCATGATGGTTACTTCATGGATGACTTGATGGCACATAGCAACAACATTCTTATGTTGTCAGTTCAGTCAGATTCTGTAAATGGAATGGAGAGGGGATACTGTCTTGTCCTTTGCTTCAGTCAGCAATATGCCTTGGACTCGTCCTGCGAACACCATAATAAGTAGGGTTGGATTCTTTTTGTGATGGCATTTAGGGATGATAACCTCCTAGGATCCACTAGCCACCGTTGCCAATGGAATGTTGGCTGGAAGTTCTGGGAGCTGCAGTCCAGCAAACTGTGATCTAGAATGGCTGTGTAACGACCTCCTTCCACCTCACAAAGATAATAAGTAGGATTCTTTTTGTGATGGCATTTAGGGATGATAACCTCCTAGGATCCACTAGCCACCGTTGCCAATGGAATGTTGGCTGGAAGTTCTGGGAGCTGCAGTCCAGCAAACTGAACTGTGGAATGGCTGTGTAACGACCTCCTTCCACCTCACAAAGGAAGGTCGCTACGTCACCACACTTCTACACTTCCGGTAGTCTGCCACCAACCATTCCCTGAATTGAGTCACACAGACTGGAATGGATTTAGAAATAAAAAGAACTAAATGTTTATTGATTGGTACACACGGATTGGTAAAACACAAATATCATGTAATCAGGTAAAGAAAGGCTCAAGCTTATACAGACTCTCCACACGTGTTCACACAGAACTCAACTCCTGCTCTCTCACATCAAAACTCTCACTCTCTATATATACAACACAGCTCCTCCCCCTGATGTCCCGCCCTCCGACCACCATTGGATGACATCTTTCCCTCCAAACCCTTGAAGGACAGGTGACATCAGAGCTGACTGTAACACCTCCCCCCTTTATAAGTTGTTTTTGCGGGGGAAAGCTAGATTGCTTTTCTCCCAAAAACAACTAGGAGCAAAATCAACACATTATAACTTTATAACATTGCATTATTCACAAACTTACCAACACTATGCAACATATACTTAAATTATTTCATGCATCAAAACAATTATACTTACATCTCCATGGTTCATCTTTATTCATATACATAACACCATTTTAATCAACATGTATGCATAAACATTTAACCTTTTCC